GATAAAATTAGTATTCATCCATGGAAGAGATGTTTTAAATATCAAGAGATATCATGCCTTTGTACAGCATAAACCATTTTAAATGGCTTCTTTCCCTTTTTACTCATTACAAGTAGAACAAGAATGAAGATCTCTACTCCAGAAACTAACATTAAAAAACTTTAGTTCACTTAAAATCATGATTATCCATAAAGTACCCTGTAAGTATAATCCAGTAACATTATGAGGAATGAAAGTTGGTTTTTTTTTCAAAGTGATTTTATCCTAGTTGTTGCAAAAGAAAAGAATGATATCCACAAGATTCTTTCTTTTAAAAATACACAAAATGTTTTTTATCCCTATTTTAACAAAATATGATTTGTTTGAATAATAAGTTGATAGGAAAAATTCAGTAAGGCTAAGAGCAAAATGTAACTATTTTAGTGTCTGCGGGATATACAAAGTTAAATCATTGATGTCCTTCCAAATTACCAACATTTATTACATATGACATTGCTGCTCTCCAAAAATTAAAAAAAAAAATCAATGGACTATAATTAACCTGGAAATAGTTAAACTATAAACTAACAGAGCCATTCAATAATCTTGGGGATTACTTTTTATTCCTTCTCTAATAAAAAATTAATATAAATGACAGAATGTGTTTAAAAAGTCAACAGTATGTAGTATAAGGCTTTTTAATAAATTTTATTTTGGCAAATTATCATAAATTAACAAAAGCTGAATCATGATGATTTCATTTATTTGTTCTGTATGTATCTGATTAATAGGCATTAATTTTGTTGATGGAAACAAGAGAACTTTATTGTTATATAGAGAACAAAAATATAAACATTTAGCATTTCCCACAACTACTGACTTCACAATTATTTTAAATGTTATTTCAAATAACATTGTGAATACTAGAAAAGATTGGATAAGCAAAGTGCTCTACTGCCCCCTAATGAAATAAACCAGAAACAAAACAAAAACACTCAGAAAACTCATTTTGACATATGTATGGAACAGGAAAATAACTTTCCTTTGCACAAGGCAGTACACAAACACGAAGATGATGAGCCGAAAACAAGTAGAATATATATCAGGGGCTGGGGATTTAGCTCAGCGGCACAGCGCCTGCCTGGCAAGCTCAAGTTCGTGAGTTCGGTTCCCGGTACCAGAAATTTAAAAAAAAAAAAAAAAAATAGACTATATATCAAAATACTGCAGGAAAACTACAATCTCCCAGTTCTTGCGATAAAATTAGTAGCAAAACAGGAAAGCCTTGAGAAAGAAATGTTCTAAGAGAAAGGAGATCACAGTCAAACAATGTTATCTAGTTTGATAAAAATTTAAACTTCATGCAGACTACATTTTTCATGTGTATGTTGGCAATGAAAAAGAAGAAAATGAACTAGAAACTATACTTGAGTAAATTACTGTAAGTTTTTAGTTCAACAGCTCCAACTTAATACCACCAAAATAATCTCACAATTTATAATGTCTAATCCTCTTAGAAGCTTTTAATGTATGTATACATGCAAGATAACTACTCTACAAAATGTGTATTTAAAAGAATTTTACCTTAAGTAAAAATCATTTTCCTTTTTCTAAGCATAAAAACTTGGTACTTTGCAGTACTTAGCATTATAAACTAATCTTTCTTTTCATAAAAGCTCTCCCTTTAACAAACTTAATTTTTAAAACATGTACCTTTTACTTAACATTCCAACCCATTAATAATTCCTGATTCTTTACTTTAAAACGCAGCAACTTCTGGAAGAAAACTACTTTGTAGTCCTTATTTTTTTTTTTTTTGGTTTTTCTCCGGTAGCGGGAACCAAACTCATGACCTTGCGCTTGCCAGGCAGGCGCTTTTGCCGCTGAGCTAAATCCCCAGCCCCCTGTAGTCCTTATTAATAGTCAGATAAAACAAGAGTGAAAAGAGTAGAGCACCAGATCATAAAAACAGGAAAATGTAAACAAACAAACAAAAAGTAACAATTCCAGGCAGCACTTTGCTGAGGAAAACAGGCAAAGTAATTATCTGTTCCCTTTATAGACAGGGCACAGAGTATCACTTGGAGATAGCTTAACAGTGGCTTTTTACATTTTACTTTGTGATAATTGTTCAGGAAATACAGGATATAGGAACCAAATCCACACAATGCCATCATAGGGAGGCAATACAAAGAAGTAACAAGTCTGCACACAAGATTAAAGAACCTATCCTTTACATTTGGGGCTGTGGCTCCTCTTCCTGTGTCTGTTAAAACAGCGGTCTAGCCCTGCAAGTCATAAGGTCAATTGAATATGCATATATAATAATATTCATCTAAAATTTCACAATAGCAATAGATTAAAAACATAAATGCACTCAAGCACTTATCTCAAATGAATTAAATTTCATATCTGTATTAACTTTCTGAATGACAGGAATATAAAACATAACTGTTTTACTAGAATTATTCATTCCCACTACCTAAAACTATAACAAACACAGACAAATTTTGAAGCTGCAATAAAAGAGAGGACTTGAACATTACAAAAGTCAAGTATTAAAGTTGTGATGCTTAAAACATATTCAATATATGGTCAAAATAGTATCCTTCCAACCTATAACTAAACTGCCTCTGATTCCTCAGACTTAAATTACAGTATTCATAGATAAAAAGATACAGTTTTTTTATATAATGGAGTGCTACTCTACACAAAGGATAAATTTGAGACATTTATTGCTAAATGGGTGGACCCTGAGACCATATTCTTCAGTGAAATAAACTGGACATTACATGTGTAAATACTGCATTGTTTAATGGGTGAGAAACTGAAAGTGTAAGTAAGAACCAAACTGTACAAGGGATACGGTGAAATGAGAAGAAACTGTTCAAAAGGAAAGGGGAACTATGAGGGGAGGGGAAAGGAAGAAAGGGAAAAGAAAAAATGACAAAGGAGAGCTGGGCATGGTGGCACATGCTTGTAATCCCAGCACTTCAGAGGCTGAGGCAGAAGGATCATTGTGAGGCAGACCAGCCTAGGCTACAAAGTGAGCTCAAGGCCAGCCTGAACTGCATAGCGAGACCCTGTTTCAAAAAGACCAAAAAAAAAAAAAGAAAAGAAAAAAAAAAGTTAAATGACAAAAGAAGGATAAAATAGAAACAAAGCCTTGTAAATAAGAAGGGGAAGAGAGGATGAAGGAAAGGGAGGGGAATGGGAGGCAGGGAAAAAGACAAATCAAGGTATATGATGTATAGGTACAAATTCCCTATGGTGAATGTGATCATTGTATATACCAAAACTGTACCAATAAACTTAATTAAGTAAACAAATATAGTATTCATAAGAAATAAACCAGACAAGACATATGTATGTATGTATGTATGTATGTATGTATGTATTTTCACTCAGGAAATAGTCCCAGGCTATCAGTGAATTCCATACCATTCTCCTAAACCAAGGGGATATTTTCTCTGGTTCCTGGGAAAAAAAGGACTTTTCAAACTATTTTTCCCTCCTTAATTCCTAATAAGCATAACTTTAAAAACATAATCAACAAAAAAGAGTATTTAGAAAGGGAAAAGGAAAAGGTAATAATTTCATTAGGATATAAATTCAGTGAAAACTCTGGCCTAAAACAAAGGGTCCGTTTATTTATTTTAGTCCTCAAAAGTATTACTGATGATGACAGCAGCAGCCAGCACTCAATGAACATTTACCATAGTAGCAAGCATTGGACTAAGCACTTTACATACACTAAGTATTTAATCTTCACAAAAATCCTGTGAGATTGATACTATTACCTCCATTTTACAAATGAGAAACTGAGACCTGGAAAGACTAACTGCCACGCCCAAGATTACATCACTGCTAATTTGTACAGCATATACAATATATCAATCAGTGTGACTCTTGACCACTAAGTTAATATTATATTTCAGTGAAAATGTGTGAAATGAAATATTTTTGAAACACTATAATAAAATGAAAACCTAAACTGCATAAGATTTTATAATCACATGATTTAGGATAGCCATAGACAGTTCATTAAAAAGACAAACACACATGATGCAATAAGTACTGTCAATGTGCTAATAACAATGAGGTACTATTTCCATCCATGAATGCCCATTATAAATGCCATTATTCCCTGATCTTTTCTTAGATCTTCTTATTTCTTTCTTAGACCTTCAATAGCACCTCATTCTCAACTCTATTTTATTTGTCCTAAAATGAGATAAAAATTCCTCCCTGTAGGAGGAAAAATCACTCTCCCCTTCCTATCTTAAAAAAAATCAATTAAAGTATAAAATATGATAAGTAGTCCTCATTATATCTGAAATGTATATTAGTATATTTGCCATAGTAAGAAAAACTATTCCATAGCATGTCTTGGATCTTTGGTAACCATGCTCAGATTGTGAAATTAGTGTCAAAGGAGAAATTTCATGTAGTAAAAACTAATCTAAAATTCTGTCTTACAAAAGCTGAAATTTAAACATATGTGCACACACACACTTCACACACAGAAACACAATTCTAGTCATTATCATATTCCAGACATTGGCTAGACAACAAACAATAGTTCTACCATGTGTATGCAGCTTAAAACATAAAACAGCAATGGGTAGTCACAAAGACCTAAAACATTAAAATCATAATTTTATATGGTTATCACCAAATTTTTCCTTTGCAGAATTTAAGACATTATGAAATGTCCTTATAAAAATGGTGCCTTCAAGATAAGCTATTTCTTCAGATAAATAACAGTGGCATTTAAGTGTGACATCAAAATTTACCATAAAGATCTCTCAATTAATCTTTACTCAATTCTAATTAATTTATATTTAAACTTTAAATCCATAGAGAAAATACTCCACTATCAATAAAGTATAAGACCAAAGGCTGAGGCAGGAGAATCACTGTGAGTTAAAGGCCTGTCTGAACTACAGAGTGAGACCCTGTCTCAAAAAAAAAAGTAAGAGCTACCAAAATACATCATTTATCCTGACATTATTTCTTACCTTTGAATCTTCACTGTTCACTCCTAGTTGTAACACAGCTTGAGGCAATTTTAGTTTTGCTTGAGCAGAGTGAGCCATTTGAAGGTTAAGCTGCCATCCAACTGTCTCTAGCTATAAAAGACAAGTGAAGATTGGAATCAGATGGTACACAAGATGAGAAGAGTCAACTTTAAACAAATTTCTACTCAGCAACAACAAACACAGATAGCCTAGACTTCAGGCAAAGTCAGTTTCAGGATTCCTTTAACTTGTACACTCTGCAAATTTTCCCTTTGGACTCATTAGACTGGCCTTTTGCCATGCTTGTCAAATTCAAAAGTGAAAGTGATCTTTAAACACTCTGTCTAAAAAAAACAAAAAAAACCCCTAAGCAATGAAGTACACAAAAAGAGCCAGTGGTTTTAAAATAGGAGGGATTGAGACAGGGTCTCACTAAGTAGTCCAGTAGTCCAGGCTGGCCTTAAACTTGCTTGTGTAGCCCAGGCTGGCCTCAAATTCACAGCGATTCTCCTGCCTTAGCCTCCTCCTGCCTCAGCCTCCTGAGTGCTGGGATTACAGGTGTGCGCCACCAGGCCCAGCTAAAAATAGAATTTTAAACAACTAGTATTTTTTAAGTGGTTACAAATTTCAACTAGTGAATAGCATATACTACATTAGCAAAAAGTACTTTATTTAGTTCCCATAATCTTTAAAAAAAATTTGCATCTTTGCATTAGATAGAAACATTTCTCGGGGGCTGGGGATTTAGCTCAG